TTTTTTTTTTTTTTTTTTTTTTTTTTTTTTTTTTTTTTGGAAATTATATTTTGTGGGTCATAAGGGAGGTTCGAACCCACCTGCATTTTTGGGGAGGGATCTCCAGGAGCCTTCACCATTTGCAAGAATGTACTTTTTCAACCGATCATCTTCCTCCGTCGTCCACCGCCCTTTCTTCAGGCCAACTTTCTCACAGCACGGCCTCCTCCCCATTCTCGCCGCCGCCTGCCCTCTAGATTCAAAACGACATCGCTTAATTAACCAGCTACTCTCTTTTCACCCACTCAACTTCAAACAAGTTGCTAATTTTATCACTCCCTTTCTCTACACACTGTCGTTCTCATACTATGTCTTATTTATATAGAAGTGAATGCGACAAATAGTGGGACTGACGTGGCAGTTCAACTTGGAAACGTGGATGTCATGGAACACATAATTATTTAATAAATTTAATATTGTAATAAATGGAACGATTAAACCGACGTCGTTTCGACCTTTTTTGGTTGGGAGGGTAAACTGGTCTTTTTCATCGACTACAGATAAAAGAGTATATTCCAGTTTCTGAGGAGAAAAAGGACTGTCAATGAATATAAGCCGTTGATGTGTGTGTACTGATAATAAATAATAATAATAATACATTCATAATATAACGTACCAATTGGCAGGCAAAATCTTGTACGTATTTGAGTAAAAAAAAATATAAACAAAACTAAATAAAAATATTATTTTAATATGTCTTATTTTCAATCCATTTTAAAATTAATTTTTTATAGGCGGCCAATTATCAACCTTAAAAATAAATAAATAAAATAAATAAATTAGAAGTATACTCACATGTTCGTTTTGGAGCCATACTCACCTGTCTTTTAAGTTCAATAAAATTTAATTTAAAATTAATAATAAAAAATATATATATGTATAAAAAAAAATTATAAAATGTAATCGGTATTTGAACCTTATAAGTATTTAATTTTATGGCTTCGAGATCATTTAATTATTTTATATTTCTTTTTACTAAAAAATCATCGAACAAACCTTTTAGGATCACATTAAATATAATTATTTAAAATATTTATCATACAACTAGATCTACCAAATATTTTACCTTTTAAAATTTTAAATCTTAAATCGTTTTAATTTTGACAACTAATCGATAAAAATTATAATATATAGTTGGAAATTATATAAAAAATTAAAATTATTTTCGAACAAAGTTAAAAAATTAAAAAGAAAAAAAAAGTAAAACACTTCAATGAGTAACACGTGATTAAAAAGTTGGTGTGTACTTTGTATTATTTAATTAAGATAAAATAATTGTTTATAATTAAGTTAAAAAGGAGTATATATATTGATGATTTAAAAGAAATAATTAAAATATTTTACAATAATGAAGTGGTATAGCATTATTTGTAGGACCCAAGCTCAAAATCAAACAGCATTATTGGTAGGGACCCAAGTTCAAAATGGCTTGATTTTAATTAATCATGTAAAGGTTGGTAGGATCCAAATGTCCAACTCAGATCACTTTAATGATTTTATCTTAAAGGAACTTATAACTTTTTTATTTCATTTAATAACTCGTTTTAATAGGTTTTTTATTTTTAAAATATGATTAATAAGAGAGCTTGGAAAATTAGTTAATTTGATGAAACAGTTGTTTTAGAACATGGAAGCAAAGTTTGTGAAAAAATATGTAACAGAAATATGGAGCAAAAATGTTGGAAATTGGTGGTGGAAATGGTGCCAAAAAAATGTAAACTTTATATAGAAGGGATAATTTTGATGGGTAAAGAGCCCTTTAAGTTAAGTAGGCCCTACCACCAAAGCAGGTATACTTTAGTGCAACACAACATAAAAGAAGAGGTTACCATTTTAAAATGGAAATCCCACTTGTTTTAGACTCCCCCTCCCTACCTAAAAAGCTTTTTAAGCCTTTTTATCGTCGTAATCATCATCCTCGTCATCATCGGGAAAATAATTCAATTTTGAACATTTTGTCAAGTTTAGCTTATGAGTATCTATTAAACTCGAATTATGAAGTTAGGTTGAATTAGATGGAATTTTGGATTGAGTCAGGTTAATTTTTTTGGATGTGATCCAATTTGGGTTAGATATGGGTTCAGTGTGTGAATGATCAAGTCAATCCGACTCAACCCGAATGCACTGGAGAGAGAGAGTCATGCCCAACCCAAGTCCAAGTGTGAAATGTCAAACGTGTGTACGTACTCATATGTTAGGAGTTAGTGGTCTGGTTAACTTCTGTTTCAAATATAATTCTAGTCTTCTTTAAGTACTCTTTGAGATTTTTCTGTTGATATTTTTATGTTCAACTATTTACGTTAGGTGTAGTTTCTATCTTTTTGTAAAGGCTATATAATGTCATGCTTAGAATTAACAAAACTGCACTTAGATCCATTTACAGTCGAATTATGCACAACATAGTCGCACTGTATTGCCACTCGATAGTCGGCACTGCATCTTATTTTGTTCTCCTTTCCTTCGGCTTCTATATGATGAAGATTATTAGGAGTGAGTCTCAGATAAGTGAGGAATACTATCTCTATTGGTACGAAACCTTTTAGAGAAGCTCAAGCAAAGGCAGGAGAACTTATGCTCAAAGTAAACAATATCATACCATGGTGTAGATCCGCGATTCCTAACACTACAATTCTCCTCGACAACATCACTGATTCAATCAACGCTTCCTACCTTTAGAGCTTCGAGTCGGTAAACACTACAAAGTTAATTAAATACTCAATATTTGTGATGCAAGCATTGGAGTTGGTAGTTTGATTATAAACAATTATGGCAGGGTTATTAAATAATCCTTTATCTTGAATGGCAGAGCGGAAAGTCATGGGGATTTGGGAATTTGCAGGTGATGTAAGCAATTACAAATGCCATTTTAAAGGTTGATGGGGGCTGTTCCAAACAACAAGATATGCACCGTTCAAACTTACTCAAATAATGAGACACCTTAGATTTTGATTCTCCCACATCATGTTCTGTCTTTGCCGTCCGTCCAAGGATTAAATATATTTCTAAACTTCGATTGAATCATGTTTTTATATAATCAATTCATCCAGTTGAGGTGGTTTTATATTGCATTATATGCCAATATCGGCATTTTCAATAAAAAAAAAATAATGTTTATTTATTTTGTGGGGACTGCCTCATATGGTAAGGATTCCCGATTAAATAGAAAATGAGAGAATAAGTGGTAAGAGAGATATTTCTCGTTTGATAAATGAGCCAGAGACGACCGTTCCGGTCCCCGATTAATTACATTTTTATTTTGGATAATAAACTTAAAGCCATGAAATTGAGAGTTAAAACAATAAACTCGATGTTACGTGTATATATATATATATACTGTTACATTTAAGTTAAATTTGAAAAACCTAGTAAGAAACCTGATCGCGATGCTTCTGGGTGAGGAATAAAAATTGAAAATTTGAGAAAATATGAAATGAAAAAGAAGGCGAGGACGTCCCGACATTGATTTTATGTCAAACTTTAGCTTTCATTCTGTTTACTGATGTGATTTAAAACAACAGCCATTGCTTTATAATACTTTGTTGCAATAAATTTTAGAGTTTATAATATCCCAATTTTGCCCCCAACACAACAATAAACCCATCCCGGGAAGGACAAATCCGGCATTACAAAATTCACATGAGGGGCAAATCTGTCACATTTCCCATTCAAGATTTGATAATCCCCAATGTCTGAGCCTGTAGAGACACTGAATGCCTAACGTCACCAATATGAATTCCATGTTCCCCCATTGGGTAAACGACGGGGCCATTGTCGAATCTGTAGGTTCTTCCTGGATAAGATGGGCCAGGCCTCAGGCCCATTGTCGAATCTGTAGGTTCTTCCTGGATAAGATGGGCCAGGCCCCAGGCCCATTGTCGTCACGGGAAGTTTTCCACCTAAAAACATGAAAGAAAAACAGGATATAATGGGCTGTCAATTGGGCCATAAAAATACCTAGATTAGTTTGACCAAAATTATTTAGTTGGAGTAAAAATGAATCTTACAGTAGCCTCCATAAGGTCAAAAATGGTTGCGAGAGGGTTGAAACTTAGGAAGCGGTATAAAACAGGTATATAAGGCCGTCTAAGGTGCCAAATTGAGTCGACACTGAGCCGCCAGTTGAGTCGAGATGAACTGCCAAGATGAGTCACGGCTGGGAGCAGGACACACCCCCAACACGTGCAACACTGAGGAACGCGCGTCGTTACTCGAGTCGAGGCACAAACTTCGGGAGCAGGACACACCCCCAACACGTGCAACACTGAGGAACGGCTGGGAGCAGGACACACCCCCAACACCTGCCAAGATGAGATACGTCGGTAAGCATCCTATCTCTCTGTTTCTCTTGATCTTTCTCTCCCTCGCATATGTATGGAACTTGCATAATGTGAGCAAGGAGATGTTGCATGACGAAGGGTGTGAGAATGGCGCTTAAGAAGGGATGTGGGGCGGTTAGAACTGGTGTCTGCGCCTAAAAGCTTCTAATTTAATTTTCATGTATGCCCCTCCTGTAGTCCAAGTTTTTACTTTATCAGACCTTCCACTTAGAACTGGTGCTGATAAACAAGAATTAGAAGAAAAGCAGATCCTAACCGAGTCAGATGAACAAGAACAAGAGATGAAAATGTCAAGAACAATAAACTTTGAGGTAGGAACTGAATTTTACATAATAAGCCACGAGTATACCTCCTCCCTCCATCCACACATCATCTGAAAGCAAAACAAAAAAGAAAAGTTCAACTCAAACCCCCTCCTCCCTCTAACACACACTCAATATCAAACTCCAATCGCTACGTTGACCTCTCGGAGGGGCTTCGGACAGTGGGATTTCATCAATTCACGAAACTGTATCACATACCATTGTCAATCTCACCTACTACTTGATATATTGAGACATCCACTTGAAGCCATCACCATAACCCATCTTCCGAACAATACTGCACATGAATACCTCTAATGCTCGAACATCCGAATCAGCCAGATTTACCTTTCCCTTCCCTGTGGTGAAGCTCGTCAATCCGAGATGGTACCGCAATTCTTCCTCTGATGCAGCGTATGGAATGTCAATCTTGTTGCCCAATATCAGGAATGGCACGTTAGCAAGAGACTCATCAGAGAGAAGGGCATCGAGCTCCTTCTTTGATTCTGCAAATCTGTCTTTGTCAAAGGCGTCCACCAGGTACACAACAGCATCTACCTGTGATAATATCATTTTTCATTTCAAATTGGGGAAAATCACTGTGTTTCAAAGATTCAGAAGCAGGGCTCGGTATATCATATATAGTTTCTTTTCAATGCTTACTCTAAACTATGGGGAAGATCATTCCCCTGCAAAGCAATTACTATTAAATGTGATCTTTAAATGCTAAGAGCAGGTGAGCAAATTGTTGATAACAAGAGACTGATACAAATTAATGATAAGTTGAGTATCACACATCAAGAAGTAAGAAAAACAACTGAACGTGTATTATGCAGCTCAAGAAGGAACTAGTGTCATTCTTCTTTCATCGTGGACATGTCAAATACCTAAATTCATGGAAATCAAAGGATACCAAACTGACTATCAGCTTGGAATTAAACGATAGTTCTTCATTTGATGTGAGAGTGCTCCTCAACAGAACCAAATGCCCAAGAAAATCACCACAAAAGCAAAGTAAACAACTGAAAATGGAAATACAATAAGCTCGAATTCCAGAAGAACTGGAGTTTTGTTACCTTAGCATAATAATCCTTCCAGACTCTACGAGCGATTTGATGTCCACCTAAATCAAAGGCCTTGAATTTGATTTTTCCAATACTCAACTCCTCGGACGTCGGGTACTGTGTAGGCTGGTGCTGAACTAACCTCTAGAACAAGAAAATCAAACGAAGAACAATAACCAAGACACGCCATGAGAAACAAATCAAAATCTCCAACTATTTCATTTCCTCAGCCAAATCCAAAATCCCCCGCGTTTAACAAATAAAACACAGAGTTTCCCCCAATTCGCGAGACTGAAATCGAAGAAATCAAACCTCGTCTTTCAACATATGAAGCAGGGTGGTTTTTCCGGCATTGTCGAGGCCAAGGAACAGGATTTTGGCCTCCTTCTGCCAAAGACCAAGGGAGGCCAAGACGCCGTAGAACCAGTCAATGAGGAACATTAGTGGAGTCGAACGGAAGCAGATCGGAGGGAAATTGAAGGGGATCTAGGTCGCCGATGAGGGAAGATTGAGGAATCTGAAAGGTTGTGGGCTTCGATCCGAGGAGAGAATTTGGAGTTTGGACGAAGAAGATGAGAATACGAAAGGGATCGAAATACACTTTTTTTTTTTTTTTTTTTTTTTTTTTTTT